AAGAATTTGATTTTAATTCTATTAAAGTACTGAAATTACGAAAATCAATTGGATAATATGAACGTTATTTATTAACTGGCGGAAACAATAGATGGTAAGTTAATTGTGTAGTGAAGAGTGAATTAATTTGATTCGGCAAAAAATTTAAAATGGTTAAAAATCAATGCACATATTCGTGCAACACAATCATGGACGAAAAGTTATTGATAATAAAAGTGGTGAACTATTTTTGACCCATTTACATAAATCTGTAAAACGTCTAATTTCATTTTAATTTTTTAATAGTGGTGAAGTTGACTATACATTAATATTAACAAGTCAATTAGATTTAAGTGTAAATACTCTATTTTTAGCATCAGCTATAGCAAAAACAATTGATATCACAATCGATATAACATCATCATATAAAATAACATATTCATTTTATGAATACAAAATGTTCAGTTGATTTTCATATACATTTCATATACATTGTGAAACAAATTTATCTAAATTAAATTATCCAGACAAAATAAAAAGAAAGAAATACATAGCACACAAGCAAATGATATAGAAAAATTATGGGATCAAGATCGGAAAAAAGTGTTACCAATTGAATATGATATGATAATGAAAAATTCTGGTGATGCAACAGTCCATCTTAAAATATGCACAAATTGTATCTATTACAAATTAAACTAAAATACTAAAATCGACGAAATTTATAATGATACTTGATGGATTATGGTTAAGCGCAGCATCCGAATTCATGATTAAATTTTCATATTATCCAATTGATTTTCGTAATTTCAGTACTTTAATCGAATTAAAATCAAATTCTTCCGATACATTAATTCAAATACCATATCATTTTGAATTCAAAATATCAACACTTGAAACAACGCCACATGCATTAATTGATATCGGTTCAATTTTACTACATGGTCGAAATTATAATTCATCAATAACAATAAAAAATGTTGATCATGAAAGTTTAAAAATTAGTGCAACATAAACTACTAGAAAACAATCCTTTGTTGAAACACTTTCATTACAAGTCACATCACAAATAACAACAGCAACAATGCCATCAATTAATCATCCTATACGTATTAGTCCAAATTCGTTTTGTCAATGTACTCTAATGATTGAATTTGACGATATTAATGAAAATAATTATCCAAAAATACTTGAATTAGAAAATTGATATTGTTAGTCAATGTGATCCAGTAATGACAATTGATGGGAAACTTTCAAATCGTCTAACAAAAATTCTAATTATTGGACATTTAATGAATGATCAACAAGATGATAAATTTGATCACGCTAATAAAAGTCATTGGGATGATTTACAATTGATATCATCACAATGGCTTCATCAATTCTATTCAAATTCTAAAAAATTATTCTTCATTAGTACAGATCACCGCTATTGCTTATATATGTAATTCGAGACTATTATCAAGAATACTTCCAACAAATGATAATGAATGGGAAGAATGGACAGAGGCGATTATTTGATGAAATCGGCCCCTGCTTGAATTCCATCGACACATACATCGTTAGATGTAGAATGAACAGGAGAACATTTCTAGCCACTCGTCAGACCTTAGAAATCTTCTCGGAAAAAATTGGGTCCAATTAATTGTAATCACTTCTGACACGTATTATTGATCATATTCTCGAGTGTGTCTCTCTCGCCCTCATACCTCAGTAGAACTATCATATGTCATTCGAAAGCTCTTTTTCTGGGCTAGATTTCTGTATATCACATATACGGAAATAGTCGTTCTGAGGCCAAGTATGTTTGAAAATCCTTCCGTCTATGGAAAATAATCTTCTATGTGCAAACAGTCTAAGATAATTGATGACACCCTTTATCATCTAGCCCCTTCGATAGATATAACAATCGATAGAGAATTTCTCGCGCTACATTTTCATACATATACGATAGTGAAAAGTGTTCTAGGACCCCTTGACATTAGAAATACTTTCTGTAAAGCCGTGAAAAGCGGGTGTCTTGTTCGACGGTGAGGGTCCTGTGATCAACATTTCTGAACTAGCCACTACGATAGATATACCATTCGATAGAGAATTCCTTGTGCTACAATTTCATGTATATATGATAGTGAAAAAAGTGTCCCAGGAAGTTATGGTTTGGTTAGGTGCTTGTCCAAAAGGAGTTTCACCGTTGGTAATTTTCGATAAAGGTACGGTCTCTTAAATATGGAAAGAAAGTGTTTGGTGGTGGTTGGACATTTCAACAGATAATGCGGGCCCTCACAAGGATCACAGGACTCAACAGTGGTGTCACGATAATTTCCCATCGTTTATCGATAAAGATCATTGGCCGCCAAATAGTTCGGATTTGAACTCTTTGGACTATTCAGTTTGGGATGAATTTGCTCTTGCTATCAGCTGGGTAAAAGGAACATCGAAAGCAACATTGATTCAAGAATTGAAACGAGTAGGGAAAATAATTTCAGCAGACATCGTGTTTGAAAGCTGTTCATCTTGGACCTCTCGATTGTATCGTATTTCAAAAAATGATGGATGTTATTTACGTTAATCAAAGCATATGGTTTTGTAGAGAATTGGACGGGGAATCTTCAAGATAAAAAATTAAGTTTGGACAGATAAAGATAAAAAAGTTATTCCAGGAATACTGAACAGGGCATTCTTTATGGGCCACCCGTTATTTACATCCATCCTCGACAAATTTTTGCCGAGTCTATTTAAATTCATTCAGACTGAATGAAATTGTTTTACTTTTAGGTAAGAAGATCCTAGGACAGGTTAACTTTTTGACAAAAATAAATCTTCATTAGATTTTATCAGAAAACTAGTATTACAGCGACATTTAACGTCTTCGATGACCTGGGCTTCTAGAGATTTAAGGTTCCTCTAATAAACAAACACTGCACTCGATAACGCATCTAGGCCATCGATAATAGAGGTCTTGGTTGACTTCTGGTCTGGAGACGACGGACACTCGGGACTATCCACTAACGAAAAGAGAATCAGGATATATCTATGAGAAGTTTTTGCAGCACAACACGATTCATATAGACCTTTTAGAAGCCCTATCTTTGAAATTATTTTGTTTGGAAGAAAATAGCTCACTATCTCATCTACCGAATGACAGATCTGCATATATTTTTGTTCAGAAGCTATTCAGGACATAACTACGGCTAGCATTTTCTTCAGTGTGAGACCAAGATCGCATCAGAGTCATGCTCTATAACTCGCAGCCCTGAAACTTCGATTTTTTGACTCTTCGAGGACTCTAAGAACAGGAACTTTGAGTTAATTTTGTAGGAATTTCTAACGGCTCTGAACATATTCGTTGTCCTTACAGGTGCGAGCTAGAAAGGCGGTATATTTGACCCAAAACGTTTACCATAAAAATTGTAAGACCTTTTTGATACGAAGTAAACATGGAATATTTCTGTTTATAGGTGAAAATAAAACTATTAAATTCGGCTATGAGAGAGTGACCCTGTGATCCTTGTGAGGGTCCGCATTATCCTGTTGAAATGTCCAACCACCACCAAACACTTTATTTCCATATTTAAGAGCCACCGACAGTACTTCTTCAATGTAACGCTTGTGATCGACCGTACCTTTATCGAAAATTAACAACGGTGAAACTCCTTTTGGACAAGCACCCAACCAAACCATAACTTTTTGAGGAAACTTCCGTTTCCGGCCAAGAGGAACCAAATTTATTCTGACGACGTTAATTGTACATTCAAAATTGTTGAACAATCAGAAAAAATGGATGAAGAATGGCATCGTTCGTTCAGATTAGTTGGTCTTAGTGGTATTTATTATGATTCAAACGTGTGGAATATAGCATTAGCAACACATAATCGAATATATAAACAAATTTTATCGCATAAATTTATTCAACAACGTGGTATTTATCGAATTACTCGTATTCGGCTATGGGAATGGTTAATTGCAGCTGCTAAATCAAATATATTAACAAAACATATTGAATTAGCAAAACATGGTTGTACTATGTAAGGTAATAATAAAAGCCCTTAATTGCCAAGGACTTTCACAAAGTACTTCTCAGCAATAAAAGAAAGTATCTTTATCATTGAGAAGCACATCTGACAGTACATGGCAAGTGAGAAATTTTGAAAACACTTGCCAATTGTTCCAAGCACTTGCCCAGTAGAGGTTAGGTTATTCCTATCTTTTACCAACACTTCTGTAACTTTACACTGGGATTTTCCCTGTGCAGCTGCCATTTCTGACTCTCTCCGTTGAACTGCACGTTGTTTATACTCGTACACGATATTCTTGATATTCTGATGCACTGGTCTAGTTCGTACATTTTTATTAATTGCCTCTCTCCATTCATCTCTCGCCTGCGTCAGTCTTCTCCAGTTTTTTATTTTCAGTATTTCAATATCATTCAACACTTTATCCTCCCAACGCACAGTGGGCATTTCCTCATAGAGCAGGCGGCATTTTTTGCCGACATAGTTTTTTTGAATCCAAAAGCACTTTTTTATAGGTTTTCGCATACGGTATTTCCAGCAGTGTGGCAA